GTGACGGCGGTGAAGGTGGTGGTCGCCAGTAGTGTTGGCCGCCGATGGTTATTATGAGATTAGGTAGTTGTGAGTGGTTGGACTGGGTTTGTAATTGATCCGTGTGAGTGGCCTGCGGGGGTGACCGGTGGTGGTGGCGGCAGACGGAAAGTAGTGATGGTGGCCGGAGTTGAGCAGGCAGTCACTGTGACCGGAGTCACTATGGCCGGTAGGCAGGCAGTCATGATGGTCGAAGACACTTTGGCGGGGTCACTAGGGTGGTGATGCGGCAGTCACTATGGGGGTGGTGGGGCAGTAACGGGACGGGACAGCGGCAGAGTCACTGTGGCAGCCTAGTCAATGGCGGGGCGGAGTCACTGTGGCGACGGGTCACTTGGCGGTGGAGTCACTATGACCTGAGTCACTGCGGCTAGAGTCACTGTGATTGGCGAAGGAGGTGGTGGAGGCGTGGGAGGCGGCGGCGGTGCTGGCGGTGCTTAAAATTTCTTAAAATTCTGGGTAGTCACTATCACCGGCGGCGGCGGAGCACCGGTGATGGGAGCATAGCACCGGCAGCAGTGGCGGAGCACCGGTGGTGGGGGCAGAGCACCGGTGGCAGGGGAGGGGGCTTGCGGTGGGTGAATCATATCAAGGCTGGAAAATAATAAAAGTAGCAGTCCGTACTAAATTAAATAAGAAGTAGCTTGGTCACATTTGTGGAAAACTTTAAAAACAGTCATATTAATGTCTTTTGTCTTTCAGTTAGTAATATTCAAATAAAAAGGCCTTAAATTTAATAACATATGTGCCCGAGATTATAGAAATATAATAGTCTCAAAATTATCTTAAAATGCATAGAAATGAATAAGATGATTGGTTTTTTTTTGAAGACTTAGAATGTTTATGACTTTTGCTACTCCATCATTAGCATTTCTATATCATCTGATTTTCTCTCAAGTGTAGTATTAGCATATTTAGTGCCATTAGAAGCCTCAACAGATTGAGCAAATTAAAGTTCATGATTGCCATTAGATGACGTGTGTCAGTGTGTATCGATCAATGATGTGCCATAGTAAACCATCAATACAGTGATAATAATTAAAAGTTACGTAGTATAATACGTAGTATATATAGTCATACTAGTGAAAAGAATTTATCTATATTAACATATATGCGCGTATCAATATTAAACAATCAAGATGGTGATATTTTAAGAATGCAGAAAAGCACAACTCGTGAAGAAGGATGGGAGGGTGGAAGAAGAAGAAACGAGAGAGGCGAGAGGGGAAGTTACGAGAAAGAGGATGCAAACTTATTGAGAGATTGTAGTCATAGTTCTAGGAGGGTAGTATAAGTAGATGTCATGAACTCCGTTTAACCTAGGTTTTGTAACATAGTTTTTCAATTTTATAAGATACCGGGTTAGACCGAGTAACTCACCGAGTTGAGAAACTCGCCGAGTAGGCGAGTAACTCGGAAATAAAACACGGACCGATTCAGATAGCTACTCGGCAAGACCAGTATCGGAATTGCGAGTACTCACTGAGCACTTGCCGAGTACTCACTGGGTATATAACCCAGGTTATAACAAATTTTAAACGTAGCACGCCATAGGTTACAAGAAGACTCATATTACAAGAATAGGACCGTCGGGGTCGGGTCGATCCGGAACCCGGCAGCCCCAACACTTAAACTCAATTCAGTTGCATATCATTTCTTTATTATAGAAAAGTCTAGTAATATCGAGTCATTGAGTGACCTACTTTGACCCAGTCTGGACCTTGGACAACCCAAATCCATAATACAATTTAATAGAATTTAGAATTTCATCATAATTTAGGTGTCTTCAATTTGGATTTCTATGGAGTCTGAAAGTATTGGTGTACTCAAACAATCCATGAATTTGAATAATCAATTTTTGGGATGGATTTGAAATGATTTTTGTGGAATTTTACATACAAAAGATTACATCAGAAAATCCCATGAAGATCCCTCAGTTTTCAAGAGTCGGGTTTCAATAGGCAAGAGGCAAAATCAAAAGAGACGTGTATGAATACTATCGTAGTGTCGTGCAAATCATGGTATAGATAGTTGCAAGTGTAGGTCCCCGGCAAAGACAGTCGTATGAACACCACCGGTTGTCGACGACTCGACATGGTCCGGTTGTAAGTTGTGGAGGACTGGATGCAGCATCACCTACTTATCTTATGTACTTTGACATGTTGTGTCGGTGAAATTGAAGCTTGGCAAAGCGTTATAGATGAGAGGAAGAGCGTAGGTAATCAATTCGGTCTAAGAAATAGATTTGTAATTGGATGAGAGGAAGAGCAGAGGTAATAGATGTGGAATTGAATGGATGTTACGGAATCTATTGAATGAGAGGAAGAATAGAGGTATATAATCGGCTAGGTCTATAGTCCATTAAAATCCAAATAATTCCATCAAACTAAAATCCATAGGATTCTACTAGAGTTTACAAAATCTATTGAATTCCACCCAATTCCATTAAATGCACAATCTTTAAAAATTTATCAAAATCTTTGATGGGGATACCTCCTAAAAATACCGAACCAAACTAATTAAATATCTATACAACACGTGGTGGAATCAATCCCGCTTCTGGTGAATGAACTTGCGACCACTAAAGTACTAAACCAAGTCTATGGTCTAACCCTTAGGCGCAGCGGAGGACCTATCCTGCTTTGGGTCCCAACAATTACGAGTAGAGCAAGGGTGTCAAACTTTATGTGCTCTCTTATAAGAAGACACCTCAAGTGGTAATTATCGTTGTTAGTATTATACGATTCGTGAACAATACAATAATATGTATGTTCGTGTATTATACAATACGATTATATAAAGTATGGCTAACTACATATTTTATACGTTTGTAACATGAATACAGATATGGATCGGACGAGCTTTAAACATTCTACAATTTAAAAATATGACATTTAATACACATATCTTAGATACTCATTTGATGATAGAAATAATGGGTAATTAGTATGTACTACGATAAAAAAATACCAACTTCAAATAAAATGACACCAACTTAAAATTTTATATTGACATGTAGAAATCAAACTCAAATCTAGGAAAATAGTATCATGTTTACATAACTTAAATGAAGTAATAGTGTGAAAAAGAACACAATATAAAATCAGGAGTAAATCAACGTTAAAATATTCTCAAATAACAAAATTGATACAAAACATTAAAGAATAAACATAAACTCTTCAAATTTAAAAAATGACAAGTCAAACGGGACAAAGAGGACATGCATATACAGAGTATGTTTTTAAAAACTGATAAACTGAAAGTTGAGCGTTTCATTTTTAGAATACCTAATAGTCTAATACAGATTAAGAAAGTCGATTAATTCATAAATAAAAATTACTTTGGCTATTTGAGTAGAAGTAGAAGGTAACTACTAGAGAATAGCTGATATTACTATGATCGTGAATTTGATGAGACATCATGATAACGTCTAGTGTCTTGGCATGGGTGGATCGAACATAAGAGTAATAAAGTAGTAATATCTAAACTCGATCTAAAGTATTAAATCGAGGAACTAACTTATTAAGTCAAATGATTTAAATAATTAACAAACAAATAAGGCATAATAACTTCTTAATTGTTATAAATACTACGAGTATTAGACAAGTAGCAATTCACTTTAGTTGCGACACTCTATTAGACTTGAGATTAACGACCTGACTTTCTTGAATAAAATACACATGATAGTGTATTATACATTTATTCTTAAAATTAATACATGATTTTTTGGGAAAATTCATAAACAAAAGTATAAACGAAAAACTTTTGAGACTATTTCTTGGAAGGTTTCAGAGAATATACTTAAATGAATTATACATGAATTATATGTGAATAATCTAACTAAGGTAACTAAGATAAAGTTAAAGTGAGATGAGAATCATGTCTAGATGAGATTAAAACTTAATTTCAAACTTTTCAACTCAAATGGATTCCCATGAGCGAAATAGAAGAAGAGGAGGAGTTAGACCGGAGATAGGTTTCACCGATTTAGGTGGGCTTTAAATTTCTCAATTTCTTTGATAAATTAGTTGATGAGCAAATATGATAAGGAACGATGATGAACGAAGTGGATATTAGTGTTAAGTGAATGACATAGATCTTGTTTTGATCGTGCATATGAAATGTATTCGACTCTTTAGCGGGAAAATACTTCTCTCCAAAGTAGTGCAATTATGTATGAGGATTATGAGTAGGAGTATTTTTTTGTCGATTGATCTAATCTAATACTCTGTATATAATTTTACGTATTTTGTATTCACTTTCTAATCAGTATTGACCGATTTGACCTTCCAGATTCTGATTATCCGTAGGATGTTTTTACTTGAACTAATAATTTTTGATCTGATTTGGTCTTGTCTGATCCGAATTGATCTAGCCTAGTAAATGTCTGATCTAATATGGTCTGATTTGATATGTAATTGAAATAAATCCAAGTAAAAAACATACTGAATCCTATCACTTATCCTAATTATTCACTAATCCTATTTTTACATTGGTGGTGTTTGGATAATAGTGTTTTGAGCAAAACATAATAATTTTAATGAAGCAAACACTCGTATTTCCAACGGTTAGGGCACAAAACGCCAATAAATAAACAGCCCCATTAATGACTCGAAGAATAGAAAATTAAAATTGCTCTAAATAGGAGCAAAAACGTTTTGAAATTCCAAAATAGGAATGTCATGTTTTTTATTCTCTGAATAGGAGTAATCTGCAAAGTTTGGAAAAAACTGTCATGTTTTAAAGCCCAGTAATGCCAAACTTGGCATACATTTACTCCTAGATAAGTAATAAAAAACATGATAGTCCTATTTTAGAATTTAAAAACTATTTTACTACTATTTAGGGAATTCTCTCCTCAAAAATCACGAGGATGATTTTAGATAATATCCAAAACTCCGAGGCAACATTGAAATATTAGAAACTTAGGACTGGGGTCAATAGCTGATAAAGTAAATGAAGAGACTAAAGATCAAGAGACTACTGAGTTTCAACCCTAATCAATTGTCTATCTCAACCGCCTCCCAAATATTTCATGCGCCGACTCTGAACTCGCCTCCTCTATCCTCCACCGCCGGCCATCACCAGCCGTTATCTACCACTCACTCCGCCCGTTCGGAGATCTATTTACACTCCTTTTCCAAACCGATGCATCTTCGTAAAGTATGGTACCGGAGAACTCCCTCGTCTATTTTTAACTTTTTATGTTAGCTTTTTTTGTGAATCGAGATGAAGTTTTTTTGGGTTAATTTATGTCCATTCATGTGTTAGAAAGTTTGTTCGAACCTCGATTTTATTGATACAAAAAATTATCATCTTTGAATAATTTAGTTGTCATCACCGTGCAGGGCGTTCACACCTACTAAAGGGAGACTGACAGTCTGATGAGGAAGGGTATAACCGACGTGGCTTTTCAGACTCGCTCCCAAAAAGATATGTCTCACTCTTTTTGGGCTTAAAAGGGATTTATGCGTAGTGAATTTCTTAAGTAATCCTTGGTTTGTTAGATATGTCTTCAATAGCCTCTGGCATGTATGGTCTGTTTGTGAGGAGTTTCAGTCGCTGGATGAGTGAATAATGAGTAAAAATTTGATCTTGGACGGATGATAAGGCCACTTTGACTTTTCTGGAAAAATTGAAATCAGAGAATATACTCGAACCAGAAAAGAAGAAAAGATTGGTTCAGTGGCAGGAGTACTGCCTCTAGAACACCAGAAGCCAATGCCTTCTGCGGGAATGAGAAGGACTACAAGAGTCTTTGGGGCAAGGGTGTTGAGATCAGGTAGGAAGTTGTGGACCCCAAGTGAGGGTAAGCAATTAAAGAAGGCAGCTATCAATGAGGACAAGTTGATCAAGCTTCTTAATAATTCAGAAGGCCACGCTCCTCCCCGGTGCAAAAGCAATGGTTATCATCAAGTTGATGGTTCTCCTAAGCATGAAGAAACCAATATGGATTTAGATGTAACTTTAGATAGTAGAGCACTAGAACCTGAGTTGGAGATGCATACAGTGAATGTTTTGAATGAGAATTCAAATGTAAATACGAGGTGGGGAGTTGTTTATAGACGAAAAAGAAACAGGACCGATAGAAAAAATATTCTTGAAGCTTGTGATGGTGCAAGTGAGGCCTCCAAAGACAGAAGGTTTGGTAAGTACTTCGTTAGAAAGCGGTCGAAGAAAAAAGCTAGAATTTCTCCCCAAGATTTATGCACCCATTCTATCATCATTAATTCTGCTCATTCTTCTGGTTGTTTTATGGGCTGCTTGTTGCATTCCCTTTTGAGTGGTATGCATAGGGCATCTGTCACTTTGGCAGAGTTTTTTGCATTCATAAACTCAAGTCCAATATGTGATGTGTTTTCTTTGCATGGAGTCCTTTTTCTGAAGGTAAATTGTTTCCCATCATTGCAGTCATGTGTATAAGTTCTTTAATACATTAAGAGTTTTCTAACCTTTCTACCTTTTCTAGGAATGCACTCCTGAACTAAAGGATGGAATTTGTATGATTTCGTCTGTTAGATGTTCTGTACCTTTGTTCACTGTCAATTATTCTGCAATTCCATTTTGCTTTACGTATCTCCATTGCCGAATGTCTCTAAAATGCGGTCTTCCCTCATATGCTCTTTCTCTGAGCTTGGTGGCTATAGATGAGGATATTGTAATGCATGATATCTCTGAAAGTAATGAATTAGGTAATCCAGTCATATTGCCTATTAAAGATAAAGGTGATTCTATGAAGTTGATATTAACACAACCAATGGTTCGGCTTCCAAAGTTACCTGCACGAAATTCAAGGTTAAGGAGTGGGCGGACCCTCCAGAAAAGAAGGAGACCATTGAGGACAAGAAGAGTGAAACGTTCTTCTGTGAATGGACTAACCAAACCAAATGGAACTTTAGCATCTGATGGTTCGAGGTTCAGACATAATAGTAGCTACCAGCTTTTGTCTTCTGCAAAAAAATTCAAAGAACTAAAAAAATCTGCGGTGTTTGAATCTACAAAGGACATAGAGTCAACTAGCTGTTCAGCAAATGTATTAGTCATAGAGTCAGACAAGTGTTTTAGAGTGGAAGGAGCTATAATTGCACTAGAGCTTTTGTCCGCTTCAAATCAGTGGACTCTTTCTGTTAGCAGTGGAGGAATTAGGCAGTACAGCCTTACTGCTGAGAAAGTTATGAGGCCATGTAGCTCAAACCGTGTCACCCATGATATTCTATGGACTGTAGATAATAGTTGGAAGTTAGAGTTTCCAAACAGAAGAGATTGGTGGGTTTTCAAGGAACTTTACAAGGAGTGCGCTGAACGCAATGCACAACCTTCAATAGTAAGCACCATTCCTATTCCCGGAGTATGTGAATTGTCAGGATTTTGGGAGAATGGGTCCACCACCTACTTTAGTCGACCCGATCCGTACATCACTGTGAAAACTGATGAGTTGGGTCGGGCATTGGATAGTAGGATGGCGATATATGACTTGGATAGTGATGATGAGGAGTGGCTGAACGAATTCAATAACAAGCTTCATCAGTGTGTGTCTATTGAAAAATTTGAGTTGATGATTGATTCTCTTGAGAAGTGGAGGTTTTGTAACCCGGATGATGTTTGTGATGGCAAAACTGCTCTAAGTGATTGTCTGGGTTCCGAAAGCAAAGATATTGCTGAGGCTGTTCATGGGTACTGGATTAAGAAGCGGAAACTAAAACGGGCCCCACTAGTAAAGATATTTCAGGTAATTTCTACTCTTTGTATTAGCAATGGCTAAAAATTGGGTTGTGAATGTATGATGCTAATGGTAAAATATTTACTGTACAGCTGTACCAGCCAAGGAAAACCGTAATAACCACAAAGTCTATTCTAAGGAAGAAAAGGTCATTCAAACGTCAAGGAGGTCAGACTGGAAGAGGCAAGAAAAACAATTTCTTACAAGGTTCGTACCATTCTATGTTTTCATATGTTTGTGTGTTACAGTTAGTTGATGTAGTTTGTGTCAAGGCAGGTGCATACACATCTTTGCTTTATAAGTATTTGTTATTTTGTACTCTCCACCAGTTTTTATACTTTCAGAATTCACACAAATTAAGGAATGAAAGGCTTTACTACCCTTAATTATAATGCTGCATTATTCTCCTTCAAATAATTCTAGTAACTACGGAGTATGTATTTTTCTCAGAAGTTTACCTTTTTATCTCATCGTATGGAATGTCAAGTATGTTGTAATCACAAGAAGTAATATCATACTCCATCCAGCCCTATTTAAGATTCTTGGTTCAATTATTATGGTTGATTAATGATAATGTTAACTCTTCGTGATAATATTTAGTTTAGTATTAAAAATTGAATTTTAATATTTAGGAACTACACTAAAAGTTTTTTATAGAAAGCTTTTTATTGTGCAAGTCTAAGACAATTAATACTCTGGGATGCATAAACGAAGCATGTGCACAGATGTTGCAAAAGGCGGCCTTGACCATGTACAGAACGACATGCTAATCTCAGGAAAATCTATTGTTTTTGGGGGTGGGGTGGGGACACCTCCAAGTAGTAGAGTATTTTTAGGGTGATGTGTGTGCATTATATGCGAGTACATTTTGTAAAAAAAAATTAAAACAATGAGCCTGCTATTTTTACCAGTCTTGGCAGCTCAACGAGATGCTGAGCAGCAGCAGAGCGCCATTCTTAAGGTGAAAGAAGCTAAAGCTTCTGCTACTAGACAAGAGGGTTTAGCTGTTGTCAAGCGTCACAAAGCACAGCAACTCATGGAAAATGCTGACTTGGCCACATATAAAGCTATGATGGCACTAAGAATAGCTGAGGCTGCTGCCAGGTTGGCTGCTGGTAATGCCGAATCTTCTTAATCTGTTTTTTGACATTCCAGAAATGGAAATTGCTCTCAGGATGATTACATGTATAACTGTGTATAGATTATGGCCTAGATGTACATTTTTGTATTATTGTCAGCTAGAGTGTAGGTTAGAGATATGAACCTGTGTTTGAGCTGTCCACCATTTGCATCGAGCTAGATGAAAATATAGAAAATTTTACCAGTCAGTTTGAGCTTTTGGTTTGTATTGTATGTTGACTTTTGAGGAAGACCCACCGCTTTTTTGGAGTAATGTACATACAGTGCTTTGTGATTCCAAGTAGAGTTAAAATATCAAATCCATCAGCTCGGAATTTCGGATAAAATATTATTATAAGCTTGACTTCAACGGTTCAACTTAGAATTATATCGTTGTCAACCTCAGGGTTTTGGCGGATTTGTATTTCCTAGTGTTCAGTAATGTTGTTGCAGCATTAGCTTGTCTGTTTCTCTTCGATAAATATACAACTTGCAGGGGTGGCCCTAGGGGGTGCAAGGGGAGCGACTGCCTTGGGCCCCTAAAATGGAAAAACATTTGGCCCAGATTTAGTTCTTTACAACGTGAGTAGATGAGTTTTCGGCCCTAAACTGACAATTTTTCAGGTGATTTTTTTTTGTGGTTGTTCCAAGTGAATTTTTTGATTTAAAATTATGAACACTTTCTTTATAAAGTGTAAATTATGTCCAAAAAAATTATTTAAATTTCAATGTATAAGTCAGTTAAATGAATTATTAAAAAACACTGCGTTTTTTATGCATATTTTTGGTGCAGTGTTTTTAATAATTTATTTCTATGACTTATTGGTTGAATTTTAAGATGAAATTTTGTAGACATGATCTAAACTTGATGAAAAATATGTTCATAAAATTTCATTAAAAAATTTGGGCTGGAAGTAGATTAGGCTAATATGATTACTTGATTGTTTAACTTCTTAATTGGTGATTGTTATTTATTGAGTGTTAGGTGTTATAATTGTTAATTTTTCCGGACAAAAAATTTCAATTGTAAGTTCAATGAAAAAGTTTGTTTGTGTAAAGAAATCGAATTCTGAATATCCTCAAGACAAGAATTCAGAAAAGAAGAATGATTTAGCTTCTGAAAATGAAACAACTCAGAATTAGGGTTGGATCGGGATCGGTCCGGTTTGATGACCCGGTATCGGCTCGGGTGATCCCAATATTTTTGGACATGGAGCGGTACCGGCCCTTGAACCTATTGGGACTGGTGTGGTCTGGTTTACCGGCCCGTGTCTCGGGTCGGGTCAGGCCGGGTCGGGCTTTTTTTAAAGTTATTTAAAAATATAAATTGAAGAAGTGCAAGATATAAAAAAGTGAAAGTTGTTGTAAAATCCTGGAAATGACAAGTGTGAATTGTTCATCCTTGTCATCAATCCCGAAATTATGTTTAATCCTTGTAACCTAGTTAGAATAGATGGTTCAAATTGTTATTGCCACCAAATCTGTAGATTCATCCCTTAAGTGACTAATCATCAAGTTCAAACAGTATAAATAGGAGCTTGATGAGGCATTGTAAATTCATTCGGAAATTTAGAAATTTTCAGATATTAAGAAGAAGATATTTAAAGCTTTTATTAATATATCTATCTCTCAAATTTAGTCTTCATCTTCTTCATTTTCACAACACGTTATCAGCACGAATCTGCTCAAAAGTATTCAAGAAATCATCTACCTGCAGGTATGAGCATATAATATGTATTACTCTGTATCTTCCTCGATAGGTGAAGAAAAAGAAAAGGAATAAATAGTAACAAACATGCTTCGTGATTAGTAAACAAGGTAGAAGAAATATAGATAATATGCATACCTGTAGAATATTTGTCAATCCAAATGAATTCTTCATATAAACAATGAGAATAATGGATACACCATAATAAGGGGAAAACGTATTCTGCACTTATAGTAGCCCATATTCTAAGGGACACTTTGTTGATCATACGGAGTATACGTAAGTAAAGAGAGAGAAGTAAAATGAGCTGTTGAGAATATTGAAATATACCGAGGTCACGTACTCTTAATAAACAAAATAGTCACAGGGTGTTAGAGCACAAGTTTACATGCTCTGTCTACACTTTTTTCCATGTAACAGAATGTAGCAAGACTTTTGCATATTATCTAGGTTTCATTTATGCCACGTAGCTTTTGCACTATATGTTATTGAGTTGTTATTCGGTGGTTTTTGTTGTATCTATTCAAACCAATCAGTAAAATAAATTTTACTTGCGAGGACATTACATATGTACTTACACTTGCATGCAATAAATTTCAGAATTTTAATTTTACTAATCTTTGTATATGGATTTATCAATTTTTTCCAATCGAACATGATATGTCATTTTATTTTCGTTAATACATACGTAAATTAGGCATGTTTATATAATTATGGATTGATGTACATGAAAATTAAAGTTAATTAATGAAACTAATTAAAAAGGTATAGTGTGTTCGTAACTGACTAATTTAGATACGAAGTATAATTTACTAATTAAATAAATTTTTGTAGTATACATGGCCAACATAAGCAAACGTGAATTCGACGTTCTTGATCTGTCCGGTCAAAAATATCTGGAATGGAAAGTTGATGCTTTAGCTCATTTGAAGATTAATGGTCTCGAAGACATTATCGATGCTATTAATCAATCATCTTCCCAGGATAAAGCAAAAGCTACGTAGTATAATTTTTCTTCGTCACCATATCCATGAAAGTCTCAAATCTGAATATCTTTTGGTTGATGACCCAAAAGAATTATGGGACAATTTACAGGAGAGGTATGGCCACCAACAAAAGGTTCTTTTACCTAAAGCTCAGTATGACTGGATCAATTTAAGATTTCAGGATTTTAAATCAATCAGTGACTATAATTCCGCCATGTTCCAAATAACATCTAAGTTAAAGTTATGTGGACAAAAAGTCACTGATGCTGATATGTTGGAGAAAACCTTTTCCACTATGCATATCTCTAACATGCTGCTTCAACAACAATATAGAGAAAAAGGTTTTAAAAACTACTCCGACTTAATATCAGTTTTACTTGTAGCTGAGCAAAATAATGACCTTTTAATGAAAAACCACAATCTGAGACCCAATGGGTCTAGTCCTTCTATTTATGGTCCATCCGGCCATAATTTAGCCACCGAATCAAATGCAACACACAGTGACCGTAGAAGGCATTTTAAATGTGGTCATTATAGTGGTCATAATAAAAACCCACACCGAGGATATAAACAGGTTGACAGACCAAATTATAAGGGAAAGGGCAAATAAAAAGCCCATCAAATAAATCGCCCTACAAAAACCTTGGTAAAAATGACTTGTTATAAATGTGGCATAACGGGGCATTGAGCTAACAAATGCCGTACTGCGAAACATCTGGTGGAGTTATTTCAAGCTTCCATGAATTTAAACAAAGGCAAAAATATGGAAGTTAATTATGTCAATGACACAACTCCACCTCTGCCAAAATTTGATGTGTCCAACTTTTTCGCGGATGATGCCATTATGGACGATGCTTTTGCTATAAACCAAAATGTTACTAAATAAAATAGTAGACTCCTGATGTTGTACAATACTAGTTTTATGTACTTTTTCTTTCTTCCCCTTTTTATTTTGTTTTTAAATAAATATGTATAATGTATGTACTCTTATGTTAAATAAAATGCATAATTTGTGATCAAGCTAATGTTTATTTATATATATTGAAGATATGGATCATTCAAATGATAAAGAGCTATGTCTGATAGACAGTGCCACAACGCACACTATTTTGAGAAATAAAATATATTTTTCTCAAATGACTTTAGTTGAAGCTGAAGTTAATACAATATCAGGTGTTGCGAAGCTCATTGAAGGCTCTGGGAAAGCATATGTGATGCTACCTAATGGGACAAAAATAATTATAAATGACGCTTTATACTCCAGCAAATCGCGGAGAAATTTATTGAGCTTTAAAGATATGCGTCAAAATGGTTATCACATAGAAACCATGAATGAAAACCAAAAGGAATATCTTTGTCTCATGACAACTAAATCTGGCGCTAAATATTTTTGTGAAAAAATGCCAGCATATTCCTCAGGACTATATTTCACATATATTAGTCCATTCGAAATAAATTTGGTTTCTAACACAAAGTTAGATGATCGGAAAACATTCATGTTGTGGCATGACCGTTTAGGTCACCCAGGTCAAGTAATGATGCATAAAATCATTAAGACTTCACTTGGACACCCATTAAAGAATATCAGAGTTTCAGTATCAAGTGATTTTCCTGGTAAGGCCTGTTCTCTTGGCAAAATGATCATCAGACCTTCAATGGACAAAATTGCAACTGAATCACCTGCATTTTTAGAAAGGATTCAAGGAGATATTTGTGGGCCGATAGCCCCACCATGTGGACCATTTCAATATTTTATGGTGTTGATTGATGCTTCAACACGTTGGTCACATGTTAGTCTTTTATCGACTAGAAATTTAGCATTTGCTAAACTCCTTGCTCAAATCATACGATTAAGAGCTCATTTTCCGGATCATTCTATAAAGAGAATCCGACTTGACAATGCAGGAGAATTTACATCCCAATCATTTAACGACTATTGTATGTCAATTGGGATTGATGTGGAGCATCCTGTTGCTCATGTCCATACACAAAATGGTCTTGCTGAATCTTTGATTAAACGATTACAATTAATCGCTAGACCATTATTAATGAAGTGTTATTTACCTTCATCAGCTTGGGGACATGCTATTTTACATGCAACAAATTTAATTCGGCTTAGACCGACTGTATATCATGAATATTCTCCAATGCAATTAGTTACTGGACAAGAGCCAAACTTAGCACACATTAAAATATTTGGTTGTGCTGTTTATGTTCCGATTGCTCCACCTTATCGTACAAAAATGGGTCCTCAAAGAAGGTTGGGAATTTATGTTGGATTTGAATCTCCCTCAATAATCAAATATCTTGAACCGATGACTGGTGACTTATTCACCGCACGGTTCGCTGACTGTCATTTCAATGAGACAGTATTCCCAACCTTAGGGGGAGAAACTAATAAATCGGACCCAAGTACGAAAGAAATAACATGGAATGCAACATGATTATCACATCTTGACTCAAAATCAAATATATGTGAGCAAGATGTGCAAAAGATAATCCATTTACAAAATGTTGCAAATCAGTTGCCTGATGCATTCACAGACACAAAGAAAGTGACAAAGTCACATATTCCTGCCATGAATGCCCCTGCCAGAATCGAAATCCCAACAGAGAATTCTGAAAAATCTTTTGCAAACGATTCTTCTATACGCAAAAAGCGTGGTAGGTCACTTG